CTCCCGCCTCAGCCTCCTGAGTAGCTGGGACCACAGGTGCCGCCACCACGCCTGGCTAATTTTTTGTATTTTTAGTAAAGACGGGGTTTCACTCTGTTAGCCAGGATGGTCTTGATCTCCTGACCTTGTGATCTGCCCGCCTCGGCCTCCCAAAGTGCTGGGATTACAGGCGTGAGCCACCGCGCCCGGCCCAGCAGAGCTGATTTTAAAGATATATGTAGATGGGAGAAGTGGGATGGCAGTGGCGCTAAGGTGCATGGAATGATGGTTAGCCTCGGTGCTCTGCAGAAAAGCCTGTCCCCACACCCACCTGACTGGGGAGGATGCTTGTGACTCCTGAATGCCCCTCACACTAATCTTGGCATGAATTACTGTGTCCGTTGCATGACAAGCTGTGTGACAACTGCATCCATTCCCCCAGGAACCATAAGCAATCTGAGGATAGGAAATGCTGCTTTATCTGTTTCCAGCCCCCAATGCAGGGTCTCGAGAGGAAAATCAGCACAGCAGCCTTTCCCCTTATCTGGTTTCCTTTTCTGAGGTTTCAGTTACCCGGGAACAACTGAAGTCCGAAAATGTTAAATGGAAAATCCCATAAAAAAGCAGTTCCTGAGTTGTACAGGGCGCTCCATCTTGAGGTGTGTGGCATCTGGCGCCATGCTGCTCCACCCCTGTGTCCGGCGTCTGAGGCGCCATGCTGCTCCACCCCTGTGTCCGGGGTCTGAGGCGCCATGCTGCTCCACCCCTGTGTCCGGGGTCTCCACACTGTCCACCCTCCCTGCCGTGGTCACTCAGCAGCCATCTCAGCTATCAAACTGCATACGGCAGAACGCCACTCAAGTCACCCTTATTTTATTTAATAATACCCCAACGCACACAGTAGGGATGCTAGCAATTCGGGTGTGCCAAAGAGAAGCCATAAAGTACTCCTTTAAGTGAAAAGGGGAATGTTCTCAATAAGAAAAAAATTGTATATTGAGGTTGCAAAAATCTTCAGTAATAACAGACCTTCTGTCCTTCAAATTATAAAGAAAAAAGGGCTTTGTGTTAGTTTTGCTACCACGCCTCTAACAGCCAAAGTGATGCCACAGTACATGGCAAGTGCCCAGTTCAGATGGAAAAGGGATTCCATGTATGAGCGGGGACATGAACAGAAACGTATTTCGATCGATTGCCCTTGGGTTCCGTGTCATCTTAGGTTTCAGGCATCAGCTGGCGTCATGGACTACATCTCCCGAGGAGTAGGGGGGACTCCTGTACCAGAACAGCAGCACTCATTAATAACCCCAGTGTGCATCTACTTGCTGGCACAAGGGAGGGAGGGAATGCAGGATGACAACTGCGATCACGTTGGGGTCACCAACCCATGTCCCAGCACAAGACGACAGACATAAGGCTCAATCTCCACATCAGAGGCACTCAGGGGGCCTCTGCTCCAGCCTCCTAGCCTGGGGTGAGCAAACTTCTGTCAAGTGTCAGATACTAAAGATTTTAGACTTTTCTGGCCTGATATGGTCTCTGTCCACATCTTCCTTTTTGTTTTGTTTACAATTCCTCGTTTTCTTTTGTTACAACACTTTTGAAATTTAAGAACTGTTCTTAGTTCTTGGGCCTTACAGAAAGAAGCTGAGGGCCAGAGTTGGCCCTTGGCTGTGATTTGCCAATGTCCGTGTGACTCCGCCATGCTGCACAGCCTCTCTGCACCTCTGACAAACGGTCCCCAGGCTGTGTGCAAGGGCTCATCTCCCCACCATGACCTGGAATTGAACCATCCCAGGTAGACTCTTGTGCAGGCTTCTCCAGCATAAGATGACTGGTGTGAGTTTCCACGGATGCGATTTCTGAAATTAGAGTCCTGAGAAATGCAGTGGCAGCAACACTGCTGAGGAAAGCCAGCCCTGAGTGCACCCGCTGCAGCTGCTCTTTCCAGAACATTCTATCTCTGGAACAGGAGGTACCTGAGGCCTGAGCACCAGGTAGGCTCTAAGGGCCTGCTCCAAGGACCCCTTAGTCCCTCGGCACGGCTCTCAGCTGGGTTCAAGGGAAGGCTAGCAGCTGGTGGTTTGAGACCAACTCCAGAGAGGTCAGCAGGAGAGGTGTGTGCCAAGTGGGGTGGATCTCAGGGCTGCCTGAAGCCTAGAAATCTGACTCAGCACTTCTGCAACGCGGGACATGCCCTGGCCTCCCTCAGCGGGAATCCCTGGGGCTGAGGTGAGGCCGCCTGGGTCTGGGTCAAGGGAGGGAATCCATTCCCAGGAGCGTCAGGACACAAAGCCAGTGACCTGTGGGGTGGAGGCTGCTTTTCCCACTGTCTGTGATCTGGAGGAAGAAGTCCTGCCAAGCTGCCACCCTGACCTGCCGGATCTGTAAGCTGCTTCTCTGCGCCTGAGGGTGCTCAGAGCCCTCATCACGTGCCTGCTGCTTGGCCTACTCCCGAGACTGTGGCATGCACACCAGAGGCTACACTCACATCCTTGGCACTCACTCTAGGCTCACCGTCTGTCCCGTCACAGGAGCGGATGAGGAAGGAGCCAAGGGAGAGGCAGGTGTCCAGGCTAGTCCAGCCGGGCCCAGAATGCCTGTGTTTGGCTGAGCTGACTGACCAGAAGGTGCCACGCAGGGAGACAGTGGGGGTGGGAGCAAGGCCTGGGCAGGAGGATTTTCCTGCTTCCTGGGCCTGTTCATCCCTCCGTGGACTTAGACACACAATCCCTGGGTTCACCTCCTCACAGGCTGTGGGGTGCTGGTGGAATCACGTTCCTCCACCTTAATGTCTGCAGGCACAGACAACTTAGCCCAGCATGTGCGAAGGCCGGGGTGGGAGTGAGGGGCTGGGTGATGCACTCTGCAGAGCCCAGGCTGAACAGAAAGGACAGTCATGCAAGGAACACGGAGTTCTGTGGCGGGGAGGCCACCTTGGGGATGGCAGGAGGAGGAGTTGTCAGTTGTCCAGGTTGTCAGGGGCTTGTGGAGATGTTCTGGGGTCCCTTGGGTTCTCAAATGGATTTTGTGGTTCCATGGGCAGGACTCTGGGCTCGCCTCCAAAGGAAATCCGATTACAAGAAACAGGTGAAGTTACATGCAATTGCCAGGAGCTCAGAGTCCAGTGAAGGCACAGACACGGCAAGGTTGGACAGCGGTGCCCTTGGCAATGGGAGGGACTGGCACTCTCAGCCTCATGTGTCTGACCACCCTTGGGGACAAGAAGTCAGGCCAAAGGCTGCTCCGGGAGGGAAGGGTTAGCAGGACTCAGGCAAGTAGAAGATGGTGCCCCAGGCCAGTGTGAGGTGTGGCAGCTGTCCCCTTGGCGTGGGCAGCTGGCAGGTTGACCCCTGACCCCAGCTGTTTGCCTTGCGGGGAAGCTGTGTGGCTCCTGTGGATCTTACCGTTCGCTGGTGTGGCAGTGCAGGGCAAGGAGAAGGTAAGAAGATGCAGGGAGGCAGCCTGGGCTGCAGTCACACTTCTGCTGCACCCGGATCTGTGAGCTTCTCCACAAAGAGGAGAAAGAAGACAAGCCCAGGGTTGGGACTTCCCCCTGGCTTTGTTTTTTTTTTTTTTTTTTTGAGACGGAGTCTCTCTCTGTTGCCCAGGCTGGAATGCAGTGATGCAATCTCAGCTCACTACAAGCTTCGCCTCCCGGATTCACGCCATTCTCCTGCCTCAGCTTCCCAAGTAACTGGGACTACAGGCACCCGCCACCACGCCTGGCTAATTTTTTGTATTTTTAGTAGAGACAGGGTTTCACCATGTTGGCCAGGATGGTCTCGATCTCCTGACCTCGTGATCCACCCGCCATGGCCTCCCAAAGTGCTGGGATTACAAGCATGAGCCACTGCACCTGGCCAGGATTTTTTTTTTTTTTTTTTAAAGATTGCGTCTTGCTCTGTTGCCCAGGCCGAGGGCAGTGGCACGATCACTGCTTACTGCAGCCTTGACCTCCTGGGCTCAAATGATCCTCCCAATTCAGCCTCCCAAGTAGCTGGAACTACAAGCACACACCGTCACACCCAGGTAATTTAAAAAAATTTTTTATTTATTTATTTATTTTTTTTTTTTTTTTTTTTTTTTTGAGACGGAGTCTCACTCTGTCGCCCAGGCTGGAGTGCAGTGGCGCGATCTCGGCTCACTGCAAGCTCCGCCTCCCGGGTTCACGCCATTCTCCTGCCTCAGCCTCCCGAGTAGCTGGGACTACAGGCGCCCACAACCGCGCCCGGCTAATTTTTTGTATTTTTAGTAGAGACGGGGTTTCACTGTGGTCTCGATCTCCTGACCTTGTGATCCGCCCGCCTCGGCCTCCCAAAGTGCTGGGATTACAGGCGTGAGCCACCGCGCCCGGCTATTTATTTATTTTTGTTATTTTTGAGATGGAGTCTCACTCTATTGCCCAGTCTGGAGTGCATGCAGTAGCACGATCTTGGCTTACTGCAACCTCCACCTCCCAGGTTTAAGCAATTCTTCCTCCTCAGCCTCCCAAGTAGCTGGGATTACAGGCACCTGCCGCCCCACCTGGTTAATTTTTGTATCTTTAGGAGCGACGGGGTTTCACCATGTTGGCCAGGCTAGTCTCGAACTCCTGACCTCAAGTGATCCACCCGCCTCAGCCTCCAAAATTGCTAGGATTACAGGCGTGAGCCACCGCACCCAGCCAATTTTTTTTTTTTTTTTTTGTAGAGACAGGGTCTCACTATGTTGCCCAGGCTGGCGTCAAACACCTGGCTCAAGCAATTCTCCCATCTTGGCCTCTTAAAGCACTGGGATTACAGGAGTGAGCCACTGCACCTGGCCAAGAATTTCCTTAAAGCTTATGAAGTGGTAAGCCTTTCATTTCATGTGGAAGGTTCTGGTGGCTGCAGGATGGCCTGAAGTGAGAGGGCAAGTGATCCTTTAGAGAAATGGTTTCCTTTTATCCAGTCTGAAGCTGATGGGGGTGAGGCTGGAAGTAAGTAAGGCTGGCAGAAGTAAGGCTGGAACGGAGGAGAAACAAATCAGCAGGACTTGGCTGAAATGTGTTGGGTTTGTTCGTTGATTTACTTAGCAGATACACAGGGAGTGCTCACTGTGTGCTTGGCACTGTGGTCAATGAACTGAGTATGCAACAATGAACAGAATACATATGGTCCTTGCTCTGTGCCACTCACAGTTTGGCTCAGGTCCAGAGAGGAAGAGGAGGACTCCAAGGTGTTCTCAAGGTTCCACTGGGACATTGGTGTTCCTCCCCAAACCAGTGACCAGTTAGTGAGGGGTGCAGTCACGTCCGTGGGTCTTCAACAGCATTTTACTGAAATAAAATATCAGAGTGCCTTGGATGTCATAAGGGAAAGAAGAGTTTGCAGAAATTTTGTTTCTGTTATATATATGCAGGTCTGTATTGGATCAGTATGTGCAATGTACTTCTTACTGAAGGGCAGGTAAAAAAAAAAAACAAAAAACCTTGTATGGGGCTGAGCGTAGTGGCTCAGGTCTGTAATTCCCGCACTTTGTGAGGCTGAGATAGGACTGCTTAAACTAGGAGTTCAAGACTAGCCTGGGCAACATAGCGGGACCTCATCTCTACAAAAAAATAAAATAAAAATTAGCCCAATGTGGTAGTGCACACCTGTAGTTCCAGCTACTTGGGAGGCTGAGGCAGGAGGTTCACCTGAGCCCAGGGATCAAGGGTGCAATGAGCCATGATCACAATACTGCATTTGGCCTGGGCAACAGAGCAAGACCCTGTCTCAAAAAAAAAAAAATCTAAAAAAGAATGGTTAAGTCAAGCATGGTGGTGCATGCCTGTAGTCCCAGCTACTCTGCAGGCTGAGGCAGGAGGGTCACTTGAGCCCAGGAGTTTGAGGTGGTAGTGTGCAATAATTGTGACTATAGCCATGGCGCTTCAGCCTGGGCAACATGACGAAACCCGGTCTCTACAAAAACTAAAGAAATTAGCCTGGAGTGGTAGTGCATGCCTGTGTTCCCAGCTATTCCAGAGGCTGAAGTGGGAGGATTGCTTGAGCCCAGGAGGTGGAGATTGCCGTGGGCTGAGATCTTGCCACTGCAGGGGGCTACAGGAGTCTAAAAGGGAGGGGACACAATTTCCCCAAATCTCCAACGTTGAGGAGTTCTGCCTACACTCCTTGCCCCAGGATGCCCCCAGCACCAAAGCCAAGGGGGTGTCTTGGCCCTCAGCACTGGGGTGGAACATTTATACACAGAACCAGGCCACACAGAAGGCATACACAGAGCCCATGAGCACCAGCCCCCATCTCCATCCTCTGTTCTCCGGGACTGCAAGTCCAGGCCTGACCTGGTTCTGTCCCTACCTGGAGGGACAGAAGACAGAAGGAGACAACCCCTGAGAAGCCTTTCCCGAAGGCCTCATTCCCCCTCACACTGTAAGATCTCTCAGCCCGCACTTTGGGAGGCCGAGGCGGGCAGATCACGACGTCAGGAGATCGAGACCATCCTGGCTAACACGGTGAAATCCCGTTTCTACTAAACATACAAAAAAATTAGCAGGGCGTGGTGGCGGCGCCTGTAGTCCCAGCTACTCGGGAGGCTGAGGCAGGTGAACGGCGTGAACCCGGGAGGCGGAGCTTGCAGTGAGCTGAGATCCCGCCACTGCACTCCAGCCTGGGCGACAGCCAAACTCCATCTCAAAAAAATCTCTCAGCCCTGGATCAGGGCCCCTCTCCAGGAAAGGTGACAGAGTGGGGTCTAAATGACACTGCCCTAGGGCCCCGCTGGGGTGGAAAACAGACGCAGACGGCGCCCCCAGCCCTCCCTCCCCAGGCAGGAATAAAGGGCATAACAGACAGTGGAGGACACCGGGACAGGAAGGAGGGGCCAGCCGCTCTCTAAGTCTAAACCACGGCGGTGAGGAAGTGTGGTCCCAAATCCAGCCCCCTCCCGGCCGAGCTCACAGAGCTCAGGGCTGGAACGCGGAACCCCTACCCCGAGGCAGGCGGCAGAACCGAAGGGAACTTAAGCCCCGGCCCCCTCAGGGCACCCACGCCCGGGGCGCAGCTTTGCTGGGAGACGCCGCAATACTGCGCAGCCGCGGCCCCGCAAGCGGAAACAGGCCCGGGCGCCGGTAGGCTGGGTCCGAGGCCTGCGTGGAGCTGCAGCCCGGCGACTCCGGGAAGACAGCGGGGGGCACTGGGCGCCCGGATCCCCACCAAGGCACCCCAAGCGCGGACGGCGGGACAGGGGACAGCACCAGGGTGGTGTCCGAAGCTTCCCCACCGCCGTGGACCAACTCGGCCCCGGCCCGGGCGGGGCTTCCCGGAGAGATTTATCCCCCTTCCCTCTAAACTTCCCGGGGCTCCCGCTCAGGCCGGACAACAGCTCGGAGACCCAGTCCCCCTCGAGGGTTGACCCCCCATCCAGAACCAGCCAACCAACCAACTACCTCTCCCAAGCCGGGCCGCTTCCCGGCGTCCGCCGCTGACCTGATGAGAGCCGCTCTGCCGGCCCGAGGGAGCTGAGAAGGGGATTGGGAATGGGGTCTTGGGGAGGGGGCTCGCTGGAATGTGCAGCACTAGCCCAGCTAGGGCGGGCGGCGCGGCCCGGGCGCCCCCCAGCTCACCCAACTCCCGGCCGGCGCGGCTCCTGGCACACCATAGAGACGTGGTCCTCCGCCAGCCTAGAGCGTCTCTCCCGAGCGTGTGCGTGAGCGAGACGTCATTTTGCGTCGCCTCGGGCCGGGTAGCCGGCTGCTGCGTCTGAGGCGGACGCCGCAGTGTAGGGCACACCCTGAGGGTAGCGAGAGACGTGACTGGACCGAGCAGCTGGGGGCTGCAGCCTGGTCTGTCCCCACCGATCCCAGAGAGAGGCTGAGTCTGGATCTGGGCGTTCGAACCCTGAGAGAGGGGATTAAAGCTGCCCTGCGGGGCCGAGAAGGAAGAGCAAGGTTGAGGACTGCCTCGGCTCTCCAGAGTAGTCTGGAGCAGGCCTGCAGGCGCGTCCCCGCTCCGCAGCTCCAAGCTGAGGTAACTACACCTGCCGCAGGCATTAAGATGGCTGGTTATGCCCCTACTCCCAGCCCCATGCAGACCCTTCAGGAGGAAGCGGTGTGTGCCATCTGCTTGGATTACTTCAAGGACCCCGTGTCCATCAGCTGTGGGCACAACTTCTGCCGAGGGTGTGTGACCCAGCTGTGGGGTAAGAAGGACGAGGAGGACCAGAACGAGGAGGAAGATGAATGGGAGGAGGAGGAGGACGGCGAAGCGGTGGGGGCCGTGGATGGATGGGACGGCTCCATTCGAGAGGTGTTGTATCGAGGGAATGCTGACGAAGAGTTGTTCCAAGACCAAGAGGACGGTGAACTCTGGCTCGGTGACAGTGGTATAACTAATTGGGACAACGTAGACCATATGTGGGACCAGGAGGAAGAAGAAGAGGAAAATCAGGACTATTACCTAGGAGGCTGGAGACCTGACCTGAGAATTGATGTCTACCGAGAAGAAGAAATACTGGAAGCATACGATGAGGACGAAGATGAAGAGCTGTATCCTGACATCCACCCGCCTCCTTCCTCGCCCCTTCCAGGGCAGTTCACCTGCCCCCAGTGCCGAAAGAGCTTCACACGTCGCAGCTTTCGTCCCAACTTGCAGCTGGCCAACATGGTCCAGATAATTTGCCAGATGTGCCCCACTCCTTGTCGGGGGAACCGGAGTAATGATCAGGGCATGTGCTTCAAACATCAGGAAGCCCTGAAACTCTTCTGTGAGGTGGACAAAGAGGCCATCTGTGTGGTGTGCCGAGAATCCAGGAGCCACAAACAGCACAGCGTGGTGCCTTTGGAGGAGGTGGTTCAGGAGTACCAGGTGAGAGAAATGAGGGAATGTGGGGGGCTGAAGGGAGTGGAAAGGTAACTAGGAGTGCTGGGGAATGTGTAGCATTCTTTCCCACCTCCTCAGCTACTTAGTTGCTAAACTCTTTATTTGACACAGTGAAGAGAGATGGTCATATGGGTAAAAAAAAGAGACACAAAACCATGAAGGCTGGGGCAGATTGGCTTCCCCAGAGGAAGCTGAACAAATAATATGATGGTCACTGGAAGCGGACCACTACTGCTAATACTGTCTTGTCTACCTAAGTACGCGGGACACGAGTAACAGATACCCAGTACTTCATTTCTCTCTAATGTGAGTCCTTGACCAAGTCCCTGGGACAGGTACAGATAGGAATAGAAAGCCACAGTACTTGGAGATAATAGACATTTGGGACCTCAGCACAAACAGTGTCAAAATAGATATATTGGTAGAAAGAAATGCCAGGTGTGAGTCCTAGACTACTGGTAGCAACTGGCCACACCCTCCTCTGAAAGTCTGGGATTGCATCCTACCTTGAGTAGGATCTGTTTTCCTTCTAGAGCAAGGCAAAGCATCTTTGATGGATCAGAATGTGCCTCATATCCTGATCACTTTTCTTTCCTGGTATTTTATCATAGTGGAAGGATTGTGGGATTTAGGATCAGGTGACCTGGCTTTGCCACTTACTGTCTAGTCTTGGACAGGTGTCAACCTCCTTGAGCTTCACTTTTTCCCTAGGATTATAAGGATTAAAAGAGATCACATATGTTAACCATAAAGCACTAAACAAATGTTTGCTGTTTTACTTGGCTTTCTTGTAACTTGTCTTCCCTTGTTTGGGTGCTGATATGGTTAATGCCTTGCTTTCTAGTCTTGACTTCTAAACATTATTGTCTCAATGACAATGAGTACCATCTTCCTTACCAAAAGTCTAGGTAGATTTGACTCCTGGCAGTGCCCAAACGAAAGAGAGGTTGTCTTCAGGCCCATAAAGGTTGACCTGGATATTCAGCAGCAGTTGCTCACATCTTAGTAGTGCTTTATAGTTTATAAAATGTATTTCCTCTTGTTCTCCTTATAGCAGTGGTTTTCAAATTGAGTTTTTTGACCAATTAGTGGGTCTTAAAATAAAATAAATGGGTCACGCCTAGCATTACCTCAAAATGAAATAAGAGAAAATATTAGAACACATGGACATAGTAAGGGTAAGTATTGCTTTAGGAAACTTTTAAGTTATATATATACATGTGTATACTTAGTCTAAAAATATGCTTACTTTGAGTTGCAGTCAAAACACACAGAACACTGTCCTATAGGCTTCATATAGTAGATATTATTATCACCCCCTGCCCCCATTTTATAGCAAATATTGGTAAGTGTACAGTTAAGACACAAATCTAACCATAAATCACTGCTACCTCTGTTACACTAGTCTGACTTTAAGGACAAATCCTATCACCATGTTTTCACCCAAAGTAATAACTAA